TCTAGGAGGGGCCAGAGTCAACCTTGAGCTGGGGCCACCAGCCTCTGCCTCCCTAGGGGTTCCCCAGCTGCAGATGACTGGACCCCCCACCCCTGCCCCTGTCCCAGCCGCTGCTCCAGGCGAAGTTGCCACTCCTGGCCCAGGAAGCAGCCGGTGGCCCTGGGGAGGGGACGCCTTGACCACGGCTGTCAAAGGAGGGCCAGCGTCAGGCCCTCGGCCCTCAGCAGAGGCCACGCTAAGTGCTTGGAGCCCGGAGGTCAGAGCCAAGGGAGGACCACAGCTCAGAGGGTGAACTGCAAGGTGCTTTCTTACGAGAAGCAGACAAGGCCGGGTGGGCTCGGTGTGCTGGTGTTGACCGGGGCGGTGAGGGAAGGCCCGAGGAAGCAAAGGTCAGGCTTGAGCGGTGAGGAAAAGCCTCCCTCTCAGCAGAGGGCACGAAGGGTGCAGAGGCCCCGCGGCGGGTGCAGAGGGCTTTGAGTCTGCAGGACAGGAGGGAGCCCTGGCTGACAGGCGTGAGGAGGGTGGAAGCTGTTAAAGCCTGGTTTTATGGGAGGCCATGGTGGGGGGGTGGGGAGCAGTTTGGATTTGGCTCTGGGCTGATTCGGACAGTGGGGTCTCTGCCTGTGAGGGGCGTGGTCTCCCGGGCGTCCGTAGGAAGGTGCCTCTGGCTGCAGACTGGGGCAGGGAAGGCAGACGGGGTGTCGGGGGTGGGTGGATGGAGATTTGGCCAGGAGAGGCCGGGGGAGGGAGGAGGAGGGAAAGCCAGGGAGTCAGAGTGAGGAGCACCCCGAGATGGGTGGGCATGAGCTGCGGGGCAGGGGCTGCCACCCTGGCTGGGCACCCTGTGTGGGCACAGTGCTGCCAGGCTGTGGCCTTTCCAGGGACCTGAAAAGCAGGCCCATGGAGGCCGGAGGCATCCTGACCTTTCCAGGGTGTGGGCGTGTGCCGGAGCCTGCCGGGCACACACGCCCGTCCCCAGTGCCAGGCGGCCTCTGCTTGTCGCGATGTGCAGGCTGGGGGCAGGGGCGGGGGGGCGCAGGCCCAGCTGTGGTGTGAGGGGTGTTTTGTCACTGGAGAGCTCAGTGTGACCCCACGGGTGTGTGCACGCGTGTGCTCATGCATGTGCCCGAGAGATCCCCTTCGCCTGCCTCTGGCCGGGCCCCTGCCCCAGGTGGTGCTGGAGGATTCTCCGTGCGTGTCCTCCGTCCTGTGCGTGCCCTGCCAGTGCCAGCACGCCATGGTCAGGGCCAGAAATGTCCCCGCCTCCGGCCCCCGCAGGCACGCGGTGTCCCCTGGGGCACGGCTGCTCTGCCTGAGAGCCTCGGGTCTAGAGGCGTCCCGTCCTGGCTGCCTGAGTTACCTCTGCAGGGCCCCTTGTGCAAATGAGGAAGCTGAGCCTCACGCTCCATCTTCTGTCGGGGGCAGAGCTGAGGGGCAGGTGTGGGGGCGGGGGCACCCCTTGGGCCTTTGCAGCTTCCTCCCCTCCCCCCCAGCCAGTGCTTTGGTCCACCTGCTCTTGTCTGCCCGTCCTCGGCCTCTCCCGCGGCAGAGCCTGCTCCCGCCGTGTTTTCAGCTGGGTCTGGGGTGCCTCCTCTTGGGGTCCAGTCCGTGTGTGTCCCCCGGGTGCGGGGGGTCCTGGCCAGTCCTGGTGGGCACAGGGACGGTGGGGGCAGATGGGCGGGGCAGAGTTACTCAGCCCCTGTGGTGAGTGATCCATGTCACGCGAGCCTCTGTGAGCCTCAGCCTCCCCTCCGGGAGATGGGGTCGCGACAGCGCCCGTTGTGGCTGTGAGGGGCTTCGGAAGTTGTTCCAGGCTTTTCGCAGCCCGCGTGGGAGGCAGATTGCTTGAGGGAAGTAGGTAGACAGATACAGGCGCCCACTTTCCCCATGGGTCAGGAATTGAGGTCGCCCCCTCCTGCCCAGGAAGAAAATGATTGGCCGGCCCTGGCCTCAGTGTCCCCTGGCAGCTCAGTGGCAGCCGGGGCCGTGCTACACCCAGGGCCAGGCCTGAGGCAGGGGTGCAAGGGCCCGGGGCGCCTCAGCTGGGAGGAGGGTGTCAGGGGCCTGGCAGAGGCAGGTTCCGGCCTCCGTCACAGTCCTTAGGGGGTCTGCCTTTTTAGCATGTGTCCTGGGGTCCGAGACCCACACTTGAGAAGTTCTGGGCCCAGAGCTTCTGTAGCCTCACACTAAGGAATGTTTTCAGGGTGCTGGGACCCTGGTGGGGCTCACGCGGTGGGGGCACAGAGGATACCCGGACGGCGTGCTGGACGCCCCGTGGTGGGTGCTTCGCGTGGAGCTCTGCCTGCTCCTCGGCCTTGGCGTGGGGCCTGTGCCCAGCCTCCCACCTCCGGGCCCTGGGTGAGGCCCTCCCCAGCTCCCGTGAGGTCCAGTGGGGGCCAGGGAGGGTGGTCAGAGGGCCTCCCTGGGGTGGGCTCCAGGGGAGGCAGGGGCAGCTGCAGACACAGGGAATGGCCTTGAGTGTTGGAGGCGCTGTAGGCAGCTAGGACAGGATGGTGGCGTGGGGGCCTGGCCACCACCTCTCACCCCCACAGCATGGGCTTGCTCTGGCTTCAGCCTCTTGCCCACGGCCGCTCTGTCTCCTCAAAGCTAGGTAAAGGTGCCCCCTCCTCCAAGCAGTCTCCCCTGACCACCCCCCAGTCCCAGCTCTCCAGCTCACAGCCGCTTCTTTCTCCTGGAATCTCACTCCGTGAGGCCGGGCCTGTGGGTCACTCAGCGCCGTGTGTGGGTCTAGAGCACACCTCAGACACGGGGGGCACACCTCAGACACCCTCACAGCTCGGGGGGCCAAAGTGGGATTTGAATCCAGGTCTGACTCTCTTCAAGGGGCACCTGTTCACATGAGGCAGAGCCCAGAGCAGGGGGCCGGGGCAGTGGGCACTGCAGCCCCTGAACCAGGGTCCTGGGGGCCCCCAGCCTGCTGGCCAACACAGCAGTGGTTGCTTGCAGGGGTATTTGCTATGGAAGTTGCTGGGGTGCTGCCTGGAAGGTCAGAGACTGGTGAGGGTGATGGTGTAGGAGCTATCTGAATGGGGCACCCTTGGGCAGTGGGCCAGGTGTGCCCCAGATTCCCCCCGAAATGTTTGCTGCTGGACCGCTGGGCTCCGCAGTGCCCGTCCTCTGCCCCCAGCCCTACCTAGACTGGGTGCCTCCAGCCCTGCGCGCTCCCAGGAGGCTCCCTCCCGGCCCGCCCCCGAGAGAGTGCATTCTCGGGGCTCAAACACCATCAAGCCCCGCAGTGCGAGGCACGAAGCGTGGTCACGGTCCTCGGCCGTCTCCGCCCCCTGACTCAGCACTTTGTTATTCCAGAGACGGTGCCCTCACCCTTGCCGCGGCCGCGGCCACGTGTCCTCCTCTGGACAGGCCATGCTGGTCACGTGGCATGTGGCCTGTGTCTGCTGGGCGCGTCCTGCGTGACGTCTGCCCCCGTGGCGGGCATCTGACTCTTCCTTGTCGTGGCTGAGTGATGTTCCGCAGCCTGGACACACACGTCTGTTGAGCTGTTCGCAGTCAGTGGACACCGGGTTGTTTCTGCTCTGGGGCTGTTGTGACCAGGGCCCCTTCCCCTAGTTCCGCACCTCGTAGAGCTGTTCAGACCCGGCCACCCTCCCGTCCCTTCATGCGGGATGGCGCACCTGGGAGGGCGTCGGCTCTTGAACCCGGCAAAGGGGCAGTGTCCTATGATTCCTCGTCAGCGACCCGGGCCGGGTGTAAATCCGCGTTGGAGTCTTTTGCACCCGGCGTCACCGTCCGCCCGGGCGGTGCTGTGTCCACTCAGACGGTCTCCCAACGGCGTGGAGGGAGGCATGGGGCTGTGGGGGCCTCCTTGTGGCCAGCTTGCTGCCCGACTGCCCTCCGACACGCCGTGCTCGTCTCTGCACCTGCTGAGGGCCCGGGAGTGCCCTCCTGCGGCTTTCCCAGCAGCGTCTCCGTGGAGTGGGGCAGGCGGGGGTCCTGGGCCAGTCTTAGAGGTGGAGGGGGATGTCGGGGTTCCAGGGCGTCTCTGTCCTGTGCAGCCCACTCAGGCACAAGGGCAGGGGTGACACGATGCCCGTGGCCATGGGGTCAACCCCAAGCAGCCTGCTTGGGCCACGGCTCCGGCTGGAACCTGTGCGCTGTGGGGCCCAGAGAGGAGGGTGAGCTGCTAGCGCAAGGCTGCCCCGCAGCTGGTGGGCAGAGCAGGTACGTGCCGATGCCGTCTTCCTGAGCCTCAGTTTCCCTGTCTGGGATGGGTCTCCACAGCAGCACGTGGGGTTGACCAGCGGAGGGTTCCTGGCGCCCAGGCTGACGCCTCCGTGTCGCTGTGGGGCTCGGGCTGGCTGCTCCCCTCCACACTCAGCGCTCCTGTCGGAAGCTGGGCTCACGCCTCAGGGGGTCGCTCAGACCCTGGGCACGTGGGCTGGCCTCAGGCCACATCGCCCCCCTCCCCGCCGCCGTCTCAGTGCTGCTACCTGTCCCATCGTCCACTGTCACTCGCGGAGTTCCTGGCACCCCCGTGCTGTGGCTGGGGCCGCAGCCAAGGCCAGCAAGGAAGTCATGGCGTGTCCCCTGTTGGTTGGCGGGTGTTAGACTGGCAGGGCCAGCTTCAGCACCTGTCACCGGGGCTGTGGCTCAGGGACCCCTGCTCAGACGGGCCCAGGAGCTTGATTTCATGCTCTGCACCTTCTGCCTTACAATTCTTGTTTAACCATGGGCCCCCCGGGTGCCAGGGAGAATGAGACATTTAAGTGCTGGCGGGCAAGCAGGAGCCCGTGGCAGCTGGGCAGGCACGCGCAGGGAGCGGGACCCGCCGGGGCACAGGTCCTGTGGCCGGAGCCCGTGCAGAGTGTGCCCGGAACCCCGCTTCTGTCGAGGCGATCTACGGCGGGAAGGGCAGCCCGAGGGCACCACCCAGCGCACTGGGCTCCTCTGCTCCACCCCGGGCCTGCTCTGGTTCCCCAGCTCTGTTCTCTCTGACCCACCCTCTCTGCTTCGCCCCACAGGCTGACTCCCCACTACATCTACCCACAAGCCATCGTGCAGCCCAGCGTGGTGATCCCGGCCACCCCAGTCCCGTCACTGTCCTCGCCTTACATTGAGTACCCGCCGGCCAACCCGGCCTACGCCCAGTACCCGCCGGCCGCCTACGAGCCGTACCCGTACGCCGCCTCGCCCGCCAGCGCCGCCAGCTTCGTGGGCTACGGCTACCCGGCCGCCCTGCCCCAGGCCCTGCCCGCCGCGGCCCCCACGGGCGCCACCCTCGTGCAGTACCAGCCTCCTCAGCTGCAGCCCGACAGGATGCAGTGAGGCGTGGCCGCCGGGTGCAGGGCCCGGAGAGCCTCTCGCTCTAGGACTCGCCGCGTGGAGGGGCTGGGAGCCCGCGAGCCCCACAGCCGCGCCCCGCCGCCTCCACCACCAGCCTGCTCGGCGCCGTCCCCGCCCTGTCCCGGCCGCCGCCCGGCAGAGGCTCTTGCAGCCCCCGACGCCCCCCGGCCCCGAGGTGCCTTAACTCCCCAGAACCCAGAGAGCGAGCAGGGGCCCCCTCCGGCCCCCAGGCTCCCGGCACGGGGGCTGCCGGCCACCGCCCGGCCGTTTCCTTATCGTTAATGTTTTGCTACGAACACGATTTCAGAATTTCAGTCTATTTTTCCAGTGGAGACCCCCGCCGCCCCGAACCCAAAGCCTACTCTCGACTTCGAGAGACTCCCCTCTGCCGATGCCTGCGCCCCGGCCCCGGGCGCGGGGCGTGTTTCCAGGCGACAGGAGCCCCCAGCCCGGCGGGGCCGCGGGAGGGTGGGGTCAGAGTGCAGGATCGCGAGACCCCGCGTGCCCTCCTGCCCTTCCCCCGCCGTGTGCACCCCAGCTGAGGGACCCGCCCTCCGCCTTTGGGGGCTCAGTGGAGGGGGCAGGCGAGGGGTCGGACAGGCCTCCGTGGGGCTCCCGGCGGGGCAGCAAGGGAGTGGGGGGCGGGCCCGGAGCGCTCGGGGAGCTGGGGGCTTCTTGCGGACCTACCTCAGGGAAACGGGAGGTCTCGGGGCGACCGCCCGCACGCGCCTCGCCTCTCGCCGGCGCTCGGTGCCGAGTCAAGGCCCAGGAAATAAAGGTAGCTAATATTATAATAATATTTTTATTAGAATGTTCTGATTATAAAAATAAAACTTGTTTTCTTTAAAGCGGTGGCTCTGTCTTTCTCTGCACGGGGGAATCCGCGCCCCTCGGCGGTCGTGGGGAGTCCCGCCCGGGCCAGGGCCCCGCTGTCACCCGCCCTCCTAGCTCCAGAGCTGGGGTTTGGATCCCCCCTCGTCGGGTGCCTAGAGAACCCGGTGACAGGGCAGACACGGCCCCCCTACCCCCCACTGAGGCGGGAAGGACCGGGGCCCCACTCCTGCGTACTCGCCCAGCCCGGCAAGCACCCGGGTTTGCGGCTCCCCCACCGCCCTGTGGTCTAGGGGGCAGTTTGCTGAGAGAAAAGAGGACGCCCTGGAGGCTGCCGAGGCACAGCAGCAGGTGCCTGTGCCGGCCACCCTGGGGTGCTGCAGCCAGGTGGGCCCAGGTCTGCGTTGGCAGGGTCCCCGTCTGCGGCCGAGGGGTCCCAACCTCGGGTCTCCCCAGCCCCTTCCAGAACTCCGCTGGAGCCGCAGCTCGGAGCTGGAGAGGGCATCGTCGCTCCTCCAGCTGCTCGTTCATTCCCTGCTTCCAGGAAGCGGGCCCCGGGCGCCTGGCAGGACCCGGGGTGGCCAGATCGTGCTGACAGACCAGGTTGGTCATCTAGTGGGGAGACGCAGCAAACACGCAAACAGGCGCTGCTCAGCGCTGAAGGAACCAGCCAGCGCAGGGGCCCTGGGGCAGCTGCGTGGAGCAAGGCCAGCGTGACTGGGGGCGCCTGGGAGGGAGTGCTAGGAGTTCAGGGCGGTGGTGGATGGGGTGAGACGCCCGTGGACTCCAGGCCTCGTGCACTCGCCCGACGGGCAGGCTGAGCACGGCCTGATTGTGAGGGTGAGGAGACCCTGACCCCGGAGGCGGGCGATGCGGCCCCAGGGGGATGCGGCCTTGCGAGATGGCAGGTACAGAGTTCACCCCTGCCCCCCTTTGGGCAGTCCGGGCCCTCCAGCCCAAGGGAAGGGTCGGTTCCGGGGTCAAGTCAGGTGAGATGGTGCCAGCACATTCTCCTGTCTTCCCAGGAAGCCCTGTCTGCCTTCGCCCGCCAGCTGGGTCTAGTTTGCAAACACTGGAGAGTCAGGGAGGCCAGTGTGAGGCTCCTGGCTCAGGAGACATTTGCTGCAGCCGATAAGGACTTGGGGGACCAGGCAGGGTGTGGGCGCTGCCAGGGTTATCTGGAGGCCGGCGTGTTTCCTGTCCCTATCAGCCAGTGGCAGCCTCTGGGACAGGCTGGGAGGCCTCAAAAACATCCTTGTGGGTCCCCGGATTGAGGCTCAGAACAGCAGCAGACCCAGGACCAGAGAACTTCTGAAGTGGCCGCCCTGAGCAGAGAGCAGGAGGCCGGGGGCGGCATGCTGGCCTCTGCACAGACGCCCTGCCAGCGAGGGCACAGCGACCACCTGCCACCAGGGCAGTGCTGCCTGGCCAGGCGCGTGCCCAGATGGGGACTCTGAGAAGCAGGGCCCACTGCCCAGACCCTGGGGGACAGCTGCCTGGAGGTGAAGGGCATGGCCTGATGTGGGCAGTCCTGCCCAGCCCCCTGCAGGCCGCCCCGACTCCCCACCTCCCCGTGAAGGGGAACAAGGTGGCATCCGCATGCTGTCCCTTCACTGTGTCCTTATGGGGGGCGGGGCTACCCCAGCTCCTTCCTCCCCTGCCTGGGTCTCCTTTCTGACCCTGGTCCTTCTGCGTCTTGCTCCCACACACCCAGGGAGTCAGGCACACGTGCACACACACATGTTTGTGCACACACACGTGAGCAGACCCCACACACACGCACAGATACACCATCAGCATGGGCCGGGCTGGTGGTGGTGCTGGGAGGTGAGATGGGGCCGGGCAGTTCCTGCAGAGAAGAAAGGAGGGTGGGGGGCAGGTGGGCAGGAGGGTGGGGGTGCGTGACAGGGCCAGGCCCCCTGCCCCAGAATGCTGCCACCTGCTGCTCCAGGCTTTTCCTTCTGGCTGTGGAGCTCGGTCAGCACCAGATTGAGCACCGGGAGCACCCCGGCTCCCTCTCCCTCGGGGAGACATAGGGGGCGAGTGTTCCCCAGTGGGATGGTGCTCCTGTTGCCTCGGTGATGCGGGGTCCCTACCCTTTGCGTCCTTGCCCCACGTTCCTGCTCCAGGCCCAGCTTCCTGGCATCACCTTCCAGGCTGCCTGCTGGTGGGGCTCCCAGCAGAGTCTGCTTGAGGGGCAGTGTGGGCCCCCACAGGCCTGGCTGCCCCTGAAATCCCTGCAGGCACAGCCGATTTGCCTCCTCTGGACATGGGGATGGGCAGTGAAGGCCCTCAGCGCGCAGCATCGTGCCTGGCAGCCAGGGTCCTCCGAGCTGCTGCCGTCTGAGCTGCCGGGAAGAGCCTGGGCACGGGCCGAGGCCGCGGGACCTGCAGGGATCGTGGCTGCCGTGCGTGGGGAAGCCCATCAGGAGGGGCTCTGGCAGCCCAGCTGCCTCCCTCACTCAAGCCTCTTTCCCATCCCACCTTCCAGGTGAGCAAACTGAGGCCTGAGAGGCAGGAAGGGCACTTCTGAGGCCACCCCAACGGGGATCTCAGCGTGGGGGAGTGTGGGGGCCACACAATGTCACCTCCGTGTCTCTGCCCACACCTGGGAGGCAGCTGGGGGCTCACCTAGCCACGGCCCTCGCTGAGCCTCAGCTCTTCCTCGCAGGGGTGAGGCTGATTCCCGGGTGGCACCCGCAGGTCCTGCCTCCCCAGTGTCCACCCCTTTCCTCGGGTAACAGCCCCTGGATGTCCGTTGGGGAGCTGCCCTGCCCACCCTCGGTCCCCCGGTTCTCCTGCTCCAGCAATCAGCATGTCCACGCCACTGACTGTTCAGGGGGAGGCACGAGACCCGGTTGGGACGAGGAGAGTCAGCTCTGGATCTGCTGGGACGCAGGGGCACGGAAGCGGCCAAGGAAGCCATGCTGAGGACAGATAAACCCGGCTGCTGGGGGTGGGGGGTGATTTGTGCTTGTGGAGAGAAGCAGCCAGCGCAAGGGAAAAGAGCTGAGACAGGGCCTGGGTGATGTAATCGGGGGCCCCTTGATCCAGCTTTGCCCGAAGCTAGCCTGGGACTTCCGTCACGAGAGCTGGTCGGTTTCCCCTTCTGCTTGAGCTGGTTTAACTTGCATCCAAGACTCTGGACATCCACGAACTCAAGGGCCTGCATTCCCTAGAATTATACCGAGTGACCGCACATCAGAAAATTCAAAATAACAGTAGTTCTTGGCTCGTGGCAAGTTATTTTTCCCACGTGAAATAAGCCCAAAGTGGGCGGCCCGGGGGCTGCTAGCTCCGGGCATGGGGAGCGCAGGCCCCTTCCAGCTTCCCATGGCGCCATCTTAGCGCGTGGCTTGTGTCGAGACCGGGTCGTGGGACAACATGGCTGCTGGAGCCCGCGGCCCCCCACCGTCACCCAGGAGGCGGGCTGGGTCTGCTGCCTGCGCGCCCCTCACACACCGGACGCGGAGGCCCCCGGGCTCCCGACTCGGCGTCAGGGGTGGGCCTGGCGCGTCTCCCCCATGGGCACGCTAAGGCCCGGGGAGCGGCCATCGCAGGGCCTGACGCCCAAAGTGCTCTGGGCTGGCTGTTCGGGGGTGGACGGGCCTGGGGCCGGGGCGCCTCCAGAGGGACAGGCGATGGGCGCGTGTGCGGGGCCGTCCTCCTCAGGAGCCCTTCCGGAAGGCCTGGTGGACGGCCCATCTCACAGGGGGTGGCTGAGCCGTGCGGTGGCCTGTTTGGAAGTGACTGACCCCGGCCCGGGTCTGTTGTTGCCCCCGGCCATGTTGGTCTCCGGGAGCTGGAGGCGAAGGGCCTTGGCCAGGCTCTCCGGCCCGCACGCCTCCTCTGGGCAGGTGACCGGCCCGGCTGCCGTGGGGCCCGGTGCAGCTCAGCCCCCGGCTCTGCCGCTCCCGCACCACCGCCCGTCCTGGCCGAGTTGTGGCTCACTCCCGCAAGCGAGGTCACCGCTGCCCTGGGCGGAAGGAGGTGACCGGGGGGAGCGCTCGCCCAGGCCTGGTGCAGAGTGAGCGCCTGGAGCGTCTGGTCACACTGCAGCTGGAAAGGGCCACCAACTGGTGGAAGGTGGGGGTGAGGGCACCCCATTCCTGCGGAACCCGCCTGCCTGTGGCCTCTCGGGGTCCCACCTGTTCAGGAAGGTCCCTGAGTCTCCAGTGAGACGAGAAGCCCCTCCCTGCTCCCCGGCACTGAGGCTGCTGCCC